CCGGTGACTTTAGGCTTATTACAATCTTTTAGCTATAAATATTTGCGAAAATGCAACCACGGACCGCTCCCATTTGAAATCTTAATGTGGATGGCAGAGCTGCTCATTTGTAGACTAGGTGCGGATTCTGACTACCACTTAATCAGAAAAGGACGGCAATACCACCCCAGTGAATTATGGACGATGATCTGCTTGGAAAGGTTACTGACAGACAACACAACTGATGGTGAAACTCGGGTGGAAGGTCAATAATATCGTTTGAAAAGCATCGGAAAGGCAACTAGCAGCGGTTCGTGACCTAAACAGCTTCCGCCTGGATATGCCCAATTCCCAGAAAAACTGCGTTCTGTATTTTCTATGCTTAAATTAAACCTTAACTTGATACAAGCGGTTTTCTAGCACTCGTTCTGTCAATTATTGTAGAAAATAATTATTTCGTGGACGTTTAAATAATGCAACGACAAAAAGAACTCTTCTTACACAACGATTAGGCATAAGTTGTTGGCCCTTGAAATTCTACTAGAAACGATCACCATTAAAACGGGTACGTTCGGCAGAGGCTTACAACGGCCAAAATGACATGACCGTGGAAAAAATACTGTCTGACTATTGTAACAACGCCATATGTGCACTTTTATGAAGTTCTGAAGTCGGGGATTACTCTGCAAATTTATAATAAAAGAACCGGTTCAAGTGTTACCTGAAGTATTTCTTCAAGGGTGTTGGGCCAAAAGTCCCCTTCGAAGTAAGGAATTTCTGTAGGCGAAACCAGATGGTGGTCGATAGCATCCTTCAAAATATCTTTGAAGTCCACAACGATGCCTTCGATCATGGCTTTTTGTAACATTCGGCGATACCAGTCCTGAAGACGTTTGGCTTTCGGTATTCTCTGCTCAACTGGATGCATGTGGAAGATGTAATCATCTCCTTCACCTGGAGGGCATGCCCAAATGTGCGCCATTACAAAACCGCATCGCTTTGCATAATGAAGATAGCCTACGAGGATTTCATGGTAGACATCTGTTCGATACTGCTTCGGTCGAAAGTAAAACACAGAGTCCAAGTAAGCCACATAAACACGCCTGCGATTTGGTTGCGGCGACTCCGATCCATATTCTTGGATGTATAATCCAAAAAAGCAAACATCTTGTCCATCGATTTCTTGAAAAGCAAAGATAGCCTTCAAACGATAGGGAAAGTTCTCGGAAAGTTCACCACTTTCCGTAAAACGACTGCGCATCAATGGCTTAACTTCCACCGTTTTGTCGGAACTTGCTAAGACACGTATAGTGACCTCACCAGTGCCGACCTCTTTTTTCTTTAAAAAGTCGTTGACACGTTTTTCGAGAAAAGTGCTCAGTTTATTGCTTGGAAGCCTTTTCGCGGTAAACCTGTTCTCCTTGCGTTTTATTCCACGAGTGTGCAAGCATCCCTGACAAATAAATCCGCCCGGCCATATTTCATCCATATGAAGTCCGCACACTTTATGCCAACGTCTGCCACATTCCTTACAAACCTCGTTGGCTTCATTAATTGTCACGTTGTTCTTTTTGCGCTCGAATAATTCTTTTCTGATTGGTCTAAAAAGCATCAAATTATTTTTTCATAAGAAACTTGCGTTGGTGTCTGATCGGGTTCATCTGCCAGCATTACTTCGTCTCCGGCTTCGTTGAAGCATTTCTCACATTGATAATAGAAATCACAAATGAGTGATTTTTTCTCACTAAAATATCATTAATTTCAACAACAAAACATTACGTGTTTTCATAGACATAGTAGGTAGCATCACGATTTATCGTACAAACGTTGGACGAACTGCAGTACAAAATTTGTTGGTAAGAATACTCATGCCCACAGCAAAAGCCCATCGCCTGCATGACGGGGTCAGCCTGACTTTCGAATAGTTCGGACAACTGAACGAGTAAGATTGACGAGTGACACTTACCTTTGTGCACATTTTGTACACTTTTGAGGTCTTCTTATTGTAAAGCCACGCGTTATTGAACATCAGCCGAAAACTATCAAGGACTTCCCATGGGTCCTTGTATTTTCCGTCTTCCAGGTTGTTCCGTATTGTTGCTAAATCCATAGGCTGTTTTATAACCTGAGGGTAATCCGGGATGTGCAGAGCGACAGGATCCACAGGGTCTCTAAACGGCTCAGCGTTTCGATCATTATAGATTTCCGCCAGCAAAGGCAAAAAGTGCCGTAGAAGTTCTTCTCTGGACCAAACTTTCCAGTTTGACTTGTCAACTTTTACAGCAGGAGATGCAGTATGCACAGCTTCGTAAGTGGAGGTGGAGCGCGAGTCAGAGGAAAGCGAGTCTTCGGCTTTGACTTTTTCTTCGGGCTTTTCGTGTTTGTAAGGAAATGGTCTGGTGGGCGTATCGGTGGCACCTCCAGGGAGCCCGGGAGCGCAACGAGACTTCTCGGTATCATCCGTCTTGTAGGATGTCGCGCCGACAGACAAGCCAGTGGCTGTCGGCGTGTAATTATTATTCTGCTCAGAATGGACGATCGGACCGTTTTCGGGCTTGATTGGAAGGCGGTTATGTGCTGAGAGAGCACGATCAAACTTCGCCAAATTGGCATCAGTGTACGAAGAGCAAGAGACGTCACTGGTAGATAAAGATGTATCCGAATTGTTATTAGGGGGAAAACTATGACTAGGCACTGTCAATGGTGCTGAGGTTTGAAGAGGAAAACGCTGCTGAGATGAGGGCACTGATGAATTGGTCTGTTGTCCTGTGCTACCAGTTGGGTCAGTTGACGCTGATGAGGTAGGTTTAGCCGAAGCCGCCGATGCAGCATTTCGACGACGCTTCCGAATTTCTTCCAGTTCATTATATATTTTCAAACAACGTTCAGAAAGTAGGCGAAAATATTCATCCATGTCTTCAGCTGTAGTGTACATGGTATTTTCTACCTTTCTTGCATATTCAATCAAGTTCGACATCCGGGGATCCTGGTACACTGCCGGGTCTGGTTGCGGTAAGATATACTTTACACTAAAAGAAAATGTGTTAACCAAAAATCAAATCTTACATTCTCCTAATGATACTGTTCCTATGTTCCATGTTAATGTTCTTTCGCCAGCCCGTCTGATCAGGAACAGGAGCTATAGATGCATTGTTAGGCTGTTTCATATCCACATGACCCGAAGACGAGGATGCAAGGAGGGGGGTGGGGCCTTGGTTTCTCGGAGCATTTGGTAGTGGAGGTCTCGAAGTCCCAGCAACGAGAACGCCAGCACGAGCGGCAGTCATCTGGTTGGGAGG